GGTTGTCACATGATCCTGTACCTGCTGGACGCTCAACAAGCACGTCCAGACTACTACGCCAGGAACTGCAGACAGTGACTATGTGTCTATGGGGGAGGGAGGGGCGTGGGCATTTTTGACTATTTGTAAAAATGTATGTTTTATTTTTTAATAATTTAATCAGTTTAAATTTTAGAAATGTCAGACAAGGATTCACATTTCTCTAGTTCTTCTTGGTCATAGTGGGTATGGTGAGATCAAGAGGTAGGGGTTCCATAAGGCTTGCCCTGGGGCTAAGGGGTCTCTGGGTTGAGAGGAGGGTGTTTACAGATTATGGTAAAACATGTATAACATAAAATTTGCCATTTTAATAATTTGAAAGGTACAATTCATAGCATTAATCACATTCATGATGTACAACCATCACCACTGTCTATTTCCAAAACTCTTTTATCTCTTGGGCTCCTTTTGACCTTGAACTCTATGGCATGGGGACTGGGAAGACTTGATCTCCCTTTTCTGGGTGGACCAGGTGTCCCTTGTGGGATCGGATGAGGAAATGTCTCCTCTCTTCCTTGGAGCTGCCTCAGCTGTCAATAATAGTTCTCTCTTCTGTGTGCTCTGGGCCCACTTGGGGGTGGGCATGGGGCTCTCTTTGAAAGGAAGTCCTTAGACTTCCTATGCTTCTGCAGGTCACTGAGGGTCTGGCTGTGGGCCCCTAGGTAAAGTTGGGTCCCCTGCTATCTGGTCTTCTCTCTTTGGGCTTCAGTTTCCCTTTGGGAGGAATGGGGCTTCACCCTGGCCACCTCTCTGCCCTTGCAGACATCACAGCTGCAGCCCTGGCTACAGGAGCCTGCATCGTGGGAATCCTCTGCCTTCCCCTCATCCTGCTCCTGGTCTACAAGCAAAGGCAGGCGGTCTCCAATCGCCGTGAGTATCCCTGTCTGCTCTGGGTGGGTGGGGGTGCCAGTGACCTACTCAGGCCCTCAGCTCAGCTCCCAGGCTTAGCAAAGACAGGAGGCAGGCACAGTTCCTCTGTACTAGAGAGACTAGAGCTGCTACACTCCCTGCAAGGATCTGGGCTCAATGGCTAAAGGAGGGGAAGGGAACCAGGGATTCCATTTCCAGGGTCTGAGTGCCCACCAATGCCTTTGACTCTCAGGCAGTGCTGGCTTAGTACTCTATAATAAATACCTGTGGTTTTTAAGGTCAAGGTGGTTTACACAAATGCTGCCACTCAGATCCTTTGGGGACCTGCTTTAAGATATAGGTAGGCTTGTTTTATAATTAGTAGCAATTGTTGGGATAAAAATGACCTTTGGAATATCAGAAGTGGGAGAAGGCTTAGAGATAGTTTAGTTCAACCCTCTCCATATAGAGATGAGAAGCCTAAGATTGGTAGGGTGAAATAGCTGGATGTTATGTAACTTAGTAAGAGGTGAAGCTAGGACTCAGCCTCAGAGCCTTCAACTCATGCTCTTCCCAGGAAACATTCTCCCCTATAATAAAACTGCTCATTAGCATGAGTGTCACAGCCAGCAACCCCTAACAGATATGAGTACTGTGCCAGGTACTTGGTCAAGCTTGTCATATACATTCTCTCACTCCTCATTACAACTCTGAGAATTTGGTACTGCCATTGTCCCCATTTTACAGATGAGCAAACTGAGGGAGAGGTTAAGGAAACTGCCTAAGGAAGCACACAGTGATCAAATGGTAGGACTGGGCTTCAAGTCATGGCCACAGATGCCATTTGCCCTCCGCCCCCCAGGTGACAGTGCCCTTTTCTGGCCCTCCTCTTGCCCAGGAACCTTTGTCAGTCTGAGTCCCCCAAGAGTAAGTCCTTTTATCCTTCCCTGTCCCCTCCTCACCCCTGGTCTCTTCCCCTCTGCCTGGTTAAAGAAGGTGGCTGTCACCTGGTGGCTTTTGGCTTACATCTAATTTCCTGTAGCTAACCTTCCCCTCATTCCTAGGGGCCTGACCTGGAGCCCAGTAGCAGGTCACTCAGGGCTGTGCACACTTCACTTTTACTTTTGAGACTCCCAAATTTCTCTCTTAAACCCACCACAACCTCCCTACGGGAATGCCCAGGGTGGGGTTGGGGTGAAGGTGGGAACAGAAGAGGACCCCAGGGCAGGAGGGCAGGAGAGTGTGTGCTGGTGCACTCTCGGTGGGAAGCTGGTCTGGAGGGCCTGTCCAGGAGTGAGCCATGCTCAGGGAAGAAGAAAAAGAAAGGGCTAGGAGTCCTGACAAGGGCAGGTTGCTAGAGAGGCCAACAGGTGTGAATTCCTATCTAGCTTTAGACTAAGCCTTGGTTTCCCCAGGTCTAAAATGGGACCAACGACCCTTTCCCAAAAGGTAGTGGAGAGGGTGAGATGATGGAATACCTGGTGTGCCCCTGCATGAAGCCTGCCCCACGGGAGTTGCTCTGAAAAGTAGACGTGACTCTAGTAGATTTCAGGAACTTCTGTGTCACTTCCCTGAGTTTGTTCTGTTGCTACCCCCTCCCTCACTGCCTGTTTCCCCATAGTAATCAGCAGAAAGCTCCTTAAAATGAGAAGGATCTGTGAGAGTAAGTGGGGTGCTGTAAGAAAAAGGGAAGTTGGCTCGGCCCCCCGTAATATAGTGGTTACGGCGCCAGCCACATACACTAAGGGTGGTGGGTTCAAACCTGGCCAGGGCCAGCTAAACAGATGCAACAACAATAGCAACAACAAAATAGCTGGGCATTATAGCGGACACCTGTAGTCCCAGCTACTTGGGAGGCTGAGGCAAGAGAATCGCTTAAGCCCAAGTTTGAGGTTGCTGTGAGCTGTGATGCCACAGCACTCTATGAGGGCGACATAATGAGACTCTGTCTCAAAAAAGAAAAAGAAAAAGGGAAGTTGAGGCCAGTGCATCTAGTTGGTGGCTAGTTTGGGGGGCTGGGAGCCCCAAGAGGGGGGCAAGCTGGCAACAGCTTGGGTAGAATGGCTGGGAAGTGATTGGGTGCTCGGATCCCCAAAGGTTCCTCTGGGAGATGTTCCCTCTAATGCCACCATATTAGGCAACCTAGGGGATAAGACAAAGAGGACCAGGAACCCTCTAATTAGGAACTGACCCTGGACACTCCCACCCAGTAAGTCATAGCTAAAGACCACAACATGGCAAATATCCAAACAGGAAACCACACAGTTAGCAAATTCAGGAGCCAGGCCTTTGCTTGATACTAAAATCCTAAAGGTCTTACACTGTGTTTGTCAAGCCATAGGAGAAAGCATTGGCTGCTTATGGTTTCCTGACAGCAAAAGTTTCATTTATCAAAGGTCAAAATGGGCCACTCACAGAGGCTCCATCTGCTGGACAGGCATGCAGAGAATAGCCACACAGCCTCCCTTGTGAACAGAAGTGGAATCCAGGGCTGGGCAGGGCCTGTCTGAGCACGGCTCCACTCCCCGAGTGGCATCTGCCAGGAGGGGCAGGGGTGCTGTCTGGGAAGCCTTCCCTCCTGTGACTAGCTTCTCTGTCTGCCCCCAGGTGCCCAGGAGCTGGTGCGGATGGACAGGTAAGGCCCACAGAAACCTTGAGAAAATATCCCAGGGCCAGATATCAGGAAGGAGATATTTCTGTGGAGAGGGGACCCTGTTTCACTGCCTAGCACAGCTAGTCAGAGACCCTCTGCCATCTGCTGCTGAAGCCTACACATCTGTGTGATTGGCCGTTCTCCTGCCACCGCTCACCCAGGGGGCTGAGCTCTGATTCTGCTGAGATGTGCCATGCACCCACTGTTGGGCCTCACTGGTCAGTCCAGGCTAGGATGGGGAAGGGAAGGAAACACGTGACCTGGGGCAGACACTGAAACATGCAGAGGATGCCAGAGGTGCCAGCCCCAGCCATAGCCTCAGGCTCTGCCTTGCAGGGCACTCCTAAGGGAAGCTGTCAGGCCACTGCAGGCCATGATAGCAGAGGCCAGAGAGACCCAGAGTGGTGCAGCCGGCCGGGGATGGACTGTGCCTTGGTGCACTCTGGGCAGGAGGCTGGCATGCAGCCTGGCCCCAGACAAGGTGCTCAGGGAGTGAGCTACACTCAGAGACTAGGCCTCAGGTCCCTGCAACACCAAACCCAAAGTTCCTCTGGGTGTTTGAAAGGGATGATTTTCAAGACAGGTCAAAAGAAGTCCTGTTTGTAGTCCTTCTAAAATCTTAGTTGGAGGGGTTTTCAGAGGTCTTCCCACTTCCAGCTGGGGAGAAAAGACTCCTCTCCTCAGCTCAAAATATGCTTTGGGGCTAGTCCTATTGCCATTACCTCTACTGGACCAAAGAGAAACCTATCCCTAAACTCCTGAGGCTGGTGTCCTGGAAGTACCTTCAATCTAGGCTTCCTAGTTGGGTCCATGGCTAATGGTCAGATCACAGGAAGGAACTGGGGTCCATTCTGAGGGCAGCCTTGACACCCCCCAGCTCTGGGCAGGTGGCAGAGTGCAGCCCAAGGCCTTGTCTCTGTGGGCCTGGTTCTTCCCTTCCTTCTGGTAAGGCTGCTTGGCTGGGGATTGGGGAGTCAGGTGTTGGGAAGGGAGGAGAGAAAAGCTGGAGGGAGACAGGGCAAAGGCCATACTTTAAGAGCATAGATAACCCTCAATTCTGATTCTGTGGCAGCAACACTCAAGGGATCGAAAATCCTGGCTTTGAGGCCTCTCCACCATCTTCCCAAGGGATGCCCGAGGCCAAGCCCAGGCCCCCACTGTCCTACATGGCCCAGCGGCAGCCATCTGAGTCTGGGCGGCACCTACTTTCTGAGCCCAGCACTCCCCTTTCTCCTCCAGGCCCCGGGGAAGTCTTCTTCCCATCCTTGGGTAAGTGTCTCCTGACCCTCACAGCACCATGCCTTGTCGTGACCCCATGGCCTGTAGGACATAAGCCTAGATCCCTGCCCTCCCTGGGGAGTCCTCACAGCCTCACCATATGGGGTTGGGGTGAGGCATGAAGGAGCCCCCTTTCACTTTGCTTCCCCTTTCTTTTGCAGAGCCTGTCCCTGACTCCCCAAGCTTTGAGGTCATCTAGACAAGCTAGGGGATAGTGAGCAGTTGTGGCTGGGTCTGGGGCAGGAGCCAGACCTGGCCCTATGAGTGTCCTCCTGGGCCTTGGCCCTGGCTCCCTCCCTCCTACTGAGTCCAGACTCTGTGACAGTCCTGATACCCAGACCCTCACCCACTCTGGATGCTACAAGGGAGAAGATGCTGGATGGTCAGCCCTTGTCCCAAGGACGTTGGGGTGCTGGGACCCCGCCCCCAGAGACCCGAAATCCACCAGCTACAGATGCCAAATGATATATTTTCTAAGAAGTTCCAGAATTTCCAGCTCTGCAGTAGCCTTTCTCCCTAAGACATGAGCCTCGGGACCTGGCAGCTTCAGTAGGACTAGAGGGACATCTGCCTGGTGCCATCCTCCTAGACCCGAGGCACAGGGCAGATGTGGAGGGACTATTCCACCCTGTCGTGGCCTGGATCCCCCATGTTGTCCAAGGCTGCTCCTCTGCCAGACCTACTCTTTGTAGGGGGCCCAGGGATTGTGTCTGCCTGCCCAGGCCGGCTTGCTTGCCCGCAGCCATTGGAGCCATCCCTGGTGTCCTCCTCTGAGGATTGTCTCTGAGGATCTATCAATAGGTTAAGCCAATCTGGGACTCCCACTGCCTGCATTCTGGTCCCCAGAATTCAGTGGCCAAAGGCCCTGAAATGGGAAGTACATATTTGGGTACAGTGGCCATTGTGAGCCAACTGGTGTCTTGCACAATCTAAGGCCAGGCCAGAGGTTGCACCACTGACCACAAAGAGTGGTGAGGGCAGGCGGGTGGGGCCTGCTGGGAAGGTGAGTGAGGGATTCCTCCCCCATCCTCCCCATCTCTGACTCGCACTGCTCAGTGTGGGTCACAATAAGGGTGCCACATAATGTCTTGTCCGCATTGGGACACTTTTGAGTGTGAAGGGGGGTGCCATTAAAAACTACATGAGACAACAGGTGTGAACCCTGTGGACAGATTATAAGAGTGGGTTTAATACCCCACTCTGCTTCTGAAGTGCTCAACCCTAGGGAACTCTCTCTTCTCACCCCTACCTTTGGCCTTCCCTTCCATACAATCTGCACCTGGTCAAGTCTTTACCTCAGGGTAACTTGCTCAGGTTGGAGGGGCCAGGCAGGTGTATTCCCATATCTTGCATCTGGGCATGACCTGGACTGGTTTTTGTACATGTATACAGGGAGAGTCCCTTGTGGAATTGTGACTGGAGGATTTTAAAGCATAGGAGAAGGGGGGTGGTGGTCTCTTCACACTCTAGGGTAGAAACATGGAAGGTGGTGCCTGTGGTGGGGAGGGGTGAGGCGGGCTTGAGTGGACGCCTGCCAGCTTCCAGGAGACAGGAGCCCTGGGCACTATGGAGGCTTTCATCCAGTCTAGGCATTGGTCTTCCACTCTAGGCACTGGTCTGTTAGCAGCCTACACTGGGTCTGCTGAGCTGGGCCAGGGGCTAGGACAAAGGACCTAGTGGGCAGAAAGAACCCTGCCCCATTGCCAGGGGGTGGGGTGGAAAAGAGGAGCAGCGCTAGCCTGCCCTACAGCACTGAGCCCTGGGCCTGCGGCTGGAGCCAGGAAGCCCCACTGGGTACATGGTTCTGCTTCCCAGCTACCTTGTTAGGCCCACAGGCAGAAGCCACTGTGGGCCTCTGGTTGTGCCTGACTGCACTGGGGACCTGGAGGCCTTGAGCAGAGGGTGAGTGCAGGCTTCGAGATGGTACTCACACCTCAAATGGCCAGATTCCTAAAATCTTGGCTCCTGCTTTGTCCTGGGCCTCTATGGACACTTGTGCCAGCTGCTATAGAAAGATGTACTGTCTCACAATTCTTGGGGGTCACAGGGCAGGAGTGGGGAGGTGACAGGGAGGGGTGGGGCTGCCCCCCAGGGTCAAAGGACAAGCCCTCAGACCAGCTCATAAAGATTGTGCCATGCCCCCTGGGGAGGCTGGCCTGGCCCCAGGCCTCAGCTTTGGACCTCAAGGCAGAGACAACTTCTAAGAATGTGGCTGCTGTTTGAGGAGAGGGCCTGCAGCAGAACAGTCGCCACACTTCCTCCCCAGCTTCCTCCAGCACAGCCTCGCACTCTCTTCTTTGGACCCTCATAAGTGAACACATCTCAGCTTCGTGGTTTCCTGTTTTCAGTGAAATTGACTCTGAGCTCCTGGTTCCATCTTCATCCATGACCCTGAGCCCTGCCTGCACTGCACTCTGGACACCCTCCCTGCTGCTGCCAGAGCAGCCCTCTGTGTGACCCCGGGATGGTGATACTGCAGATGCCAGCCCTGGCAGTTGTGGGCTGGAGTGCATGGGACAGAGTGGAGAGCAGGGTCATGGTGGCTCCAAGGGAGCTGGAAGAGCACTGGGGCCTGAAGGAGGTTTGCTTGGGAACAGGCTGGGGCCTGGGTGGGGCAAATCTGTGTTTCTTGGAACTAATTCATTGTTAGGAGATCAATAGGAATTGGAGGCTGCCTTAACTGTCTCTCAACATGT